AGCGCTTCTTTCTGATTTCCTCCTCCACTGGAATGTGGTTTGTTCTCTCCCACAGTGCGTTGTTGCTGATAATGTCTGGCCAACGAATCCGAAGTATTTTGCGTAAACAACTGTTGATGAATACTTGTATCTTCTGGATGATGCCTTTCGTAGTTCTCCAAGTTTCCAATCCATACAGTATAACTTTCTTGACATTCGTATCGTGACTCCTGATTTTGGTTTTGGTTGAAAGTTGTTTGGGAGAACTCCTGTACTAGGATGAATTAGCTGTTGAGTGGTTTCATCAACAGCTCACATCGACTATAGTTTGAAACTGTTCTGTAGTCAAACTGATGAATAAATCCAAGAGGACTCATCTGATTAGTCCAATAATAAAGTATAGTACTAACAGGTCGGAGTTTGTTTGAATATTTAAATTAAGAATTAGTGTCTATTCATCTATTCATTTGATATTCTTAACATTATTATTTTAATCTTACTGTACCACGAGAAAAAAAGTAATATTATTTTGTGGTCATTTTCAACTCTCTAAGCATTAAACAAAAATATTTCTACTGATTTCCTTTAAGTAATAGTTGAGCATTTTATTTTTTCTGCATAAAAAAAAACTAAAAAGTCACATTCACCATTATGGTTATCTCATCCTCATATCATCATGCTTTTACCACAAAGAATAAAAGAAAGTTTTCTGCTATGTAAATTGAAAAAAAACCAGCATATGCCATTTTAGCGATAAAAACATCAGTACTATTATTATTATTGTTATTACTATTTACATTATCACTGGTTATGTAAAAGACATTAAATTTTGGAGTTTTAAAGGAAATGAATAATTTTTGTCCATTAACTCATAAAAAATTGATTGAAAAATCAGCCGGGGGAAAGATGAAAGCAAAATGTTAACTAGAATACACATACACAAATTATAATGAATTGTATTGTATGTAAGGGATGATTGCAAGACGTTTTTAAGATACTGTACATACTACTTGATACTCATTAGTAAGATGTACGTGCAAGCTGTCTGACTGAGTTTCAGCTGACTATCATAACCAATGGTTAAACACATTACCGGGACATAGTTCAGAATCAGTCGAAATGGTGCAGATGAATTTACTCTATTCATCAATATAGTTTTTTTTCTTGATAAATTCAACTTGTTGGGTTGAAGTAATATGTTAATTTGGAGCGATGCACATAGATACTGAACAGTTGTCTTCGCAAGCTACTTCGGATTCGTTAGCCAGGCACTATCAGCAACAACCGACTGTGGGAGAGAACAAACCAGATTCCAATGGAGGAGGAAGTCAGGAAGAGGCGGTGGAACTGGATAGGACACACACTGCAAAAAGCACCCGACTGCATCACAAAACAAGTCCTCACATGTAACCCTCAAGGTGAAAGGAAAAGAGAAAAGTCAAGGAACACATTACGTCGAGAAATAGAGAAATACATGATAAGAATGAACAAAAATTGGAAAGAAATGGAAAGGGAAGCGTCGGACAGAGTTGGTTGGAAAAAACTGGTGGACAGCCTATGGGAGGTAACAGGAGTAGGTAAGTAAGTAAGTAAGTACATAGATGCCACGTACAACGTTGCTTATAATTTGTTGACTAAACTAAGACTGGCATAAAGCTATGATCTAGTGCTGTTCAGGTATTCAACCTTCAATCACACTAGAATCATTGTTTTTCCAATTAACTAGTATAAATAAGTTTCTTGTTCAATTAGGTACTTGAATGAAATTAGATATTGACTTATCTTGTTGCTAAACTGTATTATTATTACTATTACTATTCACATTATCTATCACTGGTTTATTTAAAAAAAGACATTAAATTTTAAAGGAAATGAATAATTTTGTCCATTAACTCATAAAAAATTGATTGAAAAACCAAAAATAGGGTAAAAGATGAGGAGAGTAAAATGTTAACTAGAATAATACACACATATGTATATATATATATATCTACATATCTACATAACTACACACAAACTGTTGTTTTCTAAAATGTTTAAATTTTAATTTTGAAAGCCAGAATTCCAAAAAAAAAATTTTTTTACATAGAATGGATTAAATAGTAAGTAGAATAATGTTAAATTATTTAATAAATAATTTAGTGAATTATTCACAATAAAAATTTGTAGATAACATTTCACTTGTTTTCTTCATTCAAAATAATAATTTCTGATGTTTAGTTTTTTTCATCTTTTGTTCACATCAGAAGAAGAATAAAACTGCCAAATTCATTCATTCATTCGACAATATTAGTTTTCTTTTTCACAACAAGAATAAGGTGATGATGAAGAAAGATATGAGGAATGTTGATTAGTAGTCGTTGTCAATTGAAGTAGTTTTAAAAAAAAAATACAATTAATTAACCTTAAGATAAAATTTTTATTGATTGGAACAAAAATAATGAATGTATTAATTGGTTTGAAAATTTTTTATCACTTCAATCTATATGCACGATAATAAAATTGTGATCAATGTTCAAATTTTATTCAAAGATAAAGTGATAATCATTTATTACATTTAAATTAGGCTGGTTAGTTTTTTTGTAACAGGATACAATTGAATAGTGAATATGAAAGAAGGATAGTTTGGAGTTTTTAAAGCATTCAGAAGGTCATTTGAATCTCGATCATAAGACTTGTTATTATAACTAACAAATTTGAGGAGATTAATTCCTGTGTATCATTATTGATTTATTAACAATCAGAACATCATTCTGATTGTTGGGGAAATTAGATCTCTAGAACTAAATAGCTAAAAGTCCGAATTTCGGATTTCGTGTTTTCGTGCATGGGCTGATCAGCTGACCTTGAGATTATATTTCCCATTCGGAAAATTCTTGACTGTTATTGATTGACGCATTATTTTAGTACGCTATTTTTGTGGCTCTCTCAAGGATATTTCTGTCATGCATAATTAACTCGATTTGTGTGCTTGTCAACCCCATATTTTCAGGGTGCTTGTAGAATACACTTTCTACTCTTTATCAAGGCTTCGTGATATAGTTGTTGGGGTCGGGGACAAACGTATTAGAATAGTCATCGTGTTAAGACATCATTTGTCTTCGCTCTCGTTTACCGACTAAGGTGAACTCGTAATAGTTTTAAGCATATCAGTTGACGAGCATAACACTGATGTGGAAAAAGCTTATAAACTTTTGAAAATCATGATATTACAACTCGTTTATTGAATGATCTTCAAAATTTCGACGAGTTTTTCTTTCACTTACCTACCAATACGTATGAATGTTTGTCGTACATAAATATTATTTAAAAGAGTATATTAAAGAATTAAAAGCAGTATTATGAAGTTATCTGTAAGATGATCGTTATCTATTTAAATTCCTTAATAATTGTAGTAAAACAAGGACAGAGCAAATGAAGTGTTTTACTTTCAAGAAGAAGCTTGTCTTTTATATAACTTAACTTTAAAAGTGATCAGTTATGTTTTTACACATTTGAAATCATCAGTCAATCATTGTTAGACCACCATTATAAACCTGGAAGCACTGGACGGCCGTTTCGTCCTGGTATTGGACTCATCAGCAGTGCGCATCCATGACTCCTGCACCCCGCAGGATTTGAACCCGGGACTCTCGGTATTGTGCGCGAACGCCTAACGATCGGACCACTGGGCCAACATCCAACGGTGTTAATGTCTAACTCTGATTGATCTAGGGATTTTGCGCTACCTCACCCATTTGTCTTTGGTAATTACTGCCTACACCCAACAGGGTTGTACTCCATTGGTCAAGTTTTCTCAACTAGAACTCCGAGGATTTCCTCAAGAATCTAGTCACTAGTGAGCACCGTTACGATATTTTCAGTTAGAGCTTTGGAGCTTTGTGTTTTTACATATTTGAAATCATCAATCAATCATTGTTAGACCACCATTAGAAACCCGAAAGCGCTGGATCAGTTATGTGCCAAATGTAAAATTTAGACTAAATACTGCTTTGGAAAGTGTGTAAAGGATATATTTATTGTTTTTGTGACTAGTGTTTTGATGATATAATATAAAGTATGTAGATTTTTTCAAATTGTAAGGAATTAATAAAATTTCATGCAATAAATGGATTAATAATATTCTGCTTTGTTATTAGATTAAATCAAATTTTAAAAAAAAGAACAGTAAAAAACGTATCAGGAAAAATTTTACATCTTTCTAAATACAATACTTATAATCCTTACAATCAAAAAATAGTTTAGAAATTAGATATCAACACCGTTGTAAGTCGATTCAGTGTGGTCTAGAGGTTAAGCGTTCTCACACGAAATCGAAGATCGTAGGTTGGATTTTTGCTTGCAAAGTCGTGGATGCCCACAGCTAAGGAGTTCCAAACTAGGACGAAATGATCATTTAGTGCTTTTAGATTTAAAATGGTGTTCTAATATTGATTGATTCATAGTTTCATTGGACTTCACAAGTAAAACGATATTCGCATTACGGGGTTGTGAAGATTGTTACGTTACATATTTTTTGAAACCATGAATCGATCAATGTTAGACCAGCATTAGAAACCTGGAAGCACTGGACGGCCGTTTCGTCCTGGTATGGGACTCCTCAGCGTTTCATGAGGCGTTCGCCTACAATACCGAAGGTCCTGGGTTTGAATCCTGCGGGGTGCAGGAGTCGTGGATGCGCACTGCTGAGTGTTATGGCGGGCACTTAAAGAAGATTAACTATCTCCTAAAACTGTTTTTTCTGCTTAAGATTCATTATTTTTGGTTGTATACAAAGTAAGCATTTTATTCTTATTATTGTGACGTTGCTCTTATCCTATACTCTTGTTTGAGGCATTAACTGTTGTTATATCATTTCTCATTTATGAACTATAGTTAATTGACTGCCATGCGTTACCCCAGTTCACACTCACTATTACTGTTATTTTGTATTGATGTCAGTTTTCTAATTGGTTTACGATGCAGTCTGGTTTTGCATGTATATAAAGGCATGATTGAAATAATAAACGATCTGATCTGATCTGATCTGATCTGTCTCATAGTCGTTGTTTTTCCTCTATTCCGTGGGGCTGGTAATTGAGAGGCTGACGTGTCTGTACAGTGATTAGCGATCATCAAGGTCATTGTATATATTGCACAAACACAACAAATTGGCGACGGGTTTTGAAGTGGATCCAACCTACGCAGTCATTGGTCATTAATTCTGCTACAATTTATTAGCCAATCAGCACTAAGGATCGCATTCAGTGTCATAAAGCGGATTTAAAAAAAAAAAAAATCAATATGACTATCACATTTGAGCAAATGAAATTATGTCTACAGCAGCAACAACAGCAATTCCTAGCCTCTCAAGAACAAATGCTGGAGTCATTAATGTCAAAAATTGCTATCCAGTCCAGAGTAACTCCTGAAGAAAAAGGAATAGAGTTATCACTCAGTTCAGTTCCAGAATTTATTTTTGATGCAGAGAATGGCCATACATTTGAATCATGGTTCGGTAGAATAGAAGATCTTTTTCAAGTGGAATATAAACATATAGATGACGCGAAGAAGGTGCGTTTATTAACACAAAAACTTGGTCAGCATGAATATTCTAAATACAAGAATTATATCCTCCCACGACATCCAAGAGATCTGACATTTAATGAAACTATTGACATTTTAAATGCAATATTCTGTGAACCAGCATCTTTATTTCATATTCGTTATAAATGCCTTCAATTGACGAAAGATGCAGATGAGGATTATTTGTCTTATGCAAGCAGAATTAATCTACAAGCCGAACGTTTTAAATTAAACGCATTGTCAAATGATCAGTTTAAATGTTTACTATTTGTTTCTGGACTCCAGTCACCAGCAGATGCTGATGTTCGAACAAGATTGCTATCACGCATTGAGCAAAACGATGACATGACACTACAGATGGTAACGTCAGAATGTCAACGACTGGTCAACCTCAAAAATGATACGAAGCTTGTAGAGACCAAAGGTAATGCTTCACTAAATTGCAATATCCATGCTGTCAAATCCAACAAAAGTAAGAGTGTTCCAATGAATGATCAACGTCAAACTAAATTATTCAAACCGTCATCGAAGTGCTGGTTTTGTGGATCTTGGCATTTCGCGAGATTTTGCCATTATAAACGTCATAAGTGCAACATTTGCTATAAAGTTGGTCATAAAGAAACAGTCTGCCGACAACAGAATTATTTGAAATCTGGACGACGCATAAAGTTTCCCCGGAATCATAAGAGTTCCATACGTAGTATATATTCGACATTCACGTGTAATCTTGCTGACAAAAGAAGATATGTAGATCTATTGGTTAATGATGTTCAGATTCGTTTGCAAGTGGATACAGCATCTGATATCACACTTATTTCTAAGAAAACTTGGGAATTGATGGGTTGCCCCCCATTACTGCCTACTGAACATACAGCGCGTAATGCATCTGGAGATATTCTAAAACTCGTTGGGATGATAAATTGTGCTGTTAGATTCGGAGTACATTCTTTTACTGGAACTTGTTATTTAACAAACAGACATGATTTAGATCTTATTGGTATTGATTGGATTGACAAATTAAATCTTTGGAAGGTGCCACTAGACGCAGTGTGTACACTGAAAGATCCACATATTCCTAAAAATCTACCTGTATTAAATGTTACATCAAACAACAACGTCTTGACTACAGCTCATCTTTTTGAAAAGCATTCGAATGTATTTCAAGATACTTTGGGATGTTGCAATATTGGTAAAGCCAAATTATATTCACGTCAAGGAGCTACACCAGTTTTTCGTCCAAAACGGCAGGTACCCTACGCCTCTATCGAACGTAATTCCAGAATGGAAATACAATACAACAAGAAGCATGGAGCGAAGCCCAGAAGATTCTTACCCGGACAAAAGGTTTGGGTACGTGATTTTCATCGTAAAACAATGGAGTGGGTTCCTGGAATTATTCTAAGGAACAGAGGAAGAGTTATCTATGAGGTCGGAGTAAGCAATATGAAATGGCTAAGACATGCTAACCACATCCGACCGTCCAGATGCGATGACGGGAATGAAGTTAAGCTGAGTACTCCGATGACGTTAAACATGTTACTTGATTTGACTGACAGAAGCAATCAGAAAACGAAAGCAGTGGAGACAAGAACAGCATCATTTCTAAGGAAATCACAAAGAATTCGACGGAAACCAAACAGGATCAAAGTGAACCCCTATGATAAATCTTACCGATGATATTTATTTTTCTTTTCAAAAAAAAAAGGGGGAGGTGTTATGGCGGGCACTTAAAGAAGATTAACTATCTCCTAAAACTGTTTTTTCTGCTTAAGATTCATTATTTTTGGTTGTATACAAAGTAAGCATTTTATTCTTATTATTGTGACGTTGCTCTTATCCTATACTCTTGTTTGAGGCATTAACTGTTGTTATATCATTTCTCATTTATGAACTATAGTTAATTGACTGCCATGCGTTACCCCAGTTCACACTCACTATTACTGTTATTTTGTATTGATGTCAGTTTTCTAATTGGTTTATGATGCAGTCTGGTTTTGCATGTATATAAAGGCATGATTGAAATAATAAACGATCTGATCTGATCTGATCTGATCTGTCTCATAGTCGTTGTTTTTCCTCTATTCCGTGGGGCTGGTAATTGAGAGGCTGACGTGTCTGTACAGTGATTAGCGATCATCAAGGTCATTGTATATATTGCACAAACACAACACTGAGGAGTCCAATGCCAGGACGAAACGGCCGTCCAGTGCTTCCAGGTTTCTAACGGTGGTCTAACATTGATCGATTCATGGTTTCAAAGACGATATTCATCATGTTTTATTATTTGTTTAAAGATAAACTCTTTTATCTTAGTTCCTAATGGAAATTATCGATATAACTAGCCATTTTTACCACAGTTTAATAGTTCAAATGCTTGGATTAGTAATTACTAGTTAATCAGTAATAGAACACTACTCATTAACAAATATTCTCTGTGTAATTTAAAACGAGTTGTTAACATGAAATATATGAGTTTCATACGAAACAGGTCGATTGAATAGTTTGAAAGTTGACAGCTTATTATATAAATTCTCGGGTGAAGTCTCTAATGAAGGAATCAGAGATCTTTTGTGTGACTTAATAGGTTTTGTAGCCTAACGGATAATGAAACGTTCAAATCGAAAAGTGTTTCAATCACAAACAATTCATGTGTTCAACTTTTGTTTAAACAAGAAGACAAATAATTACTATGAATAGAAAAAGTGTATTAAAGTTGATTATCTACTTATCTCAACAAATGATCAATGTTATTTAACTAATATAAACAATCTACACGATACAAGTAGTCTTAGTTACGTATGAACATTTTACATAACCGTTTGTATACAAACTAAAAGTCAATAAAAACCTAATAAGTATAAAACAAAAAAGTACAAGATAATCTCTAAGAGATTAGAGCAAGTTGTTTGTCTTAAAACTAGTATAAATCCACATACTTGTTAACACTTTTTAAAAAAAAAAGGAGGATAAAACAGTCATTTTATAAACTAATCATCATATAATACCATAGAATGTAATAAGTTTTGATATGAACACCGTTAGATACTGGGGCTCATTTCACAAGACCGAAGGTCCTGGGTTCGAATCCTGTGTGGTGCAGGAGTCGTGGATGCACACTGCCACTGATGAGTCCCATACCAGGACGAAATGGCCGTCCAGTGCTTCATGCAGGTTTCTAATGGTGGTCTAACAATGATTGATTGATGATTTCAAATGTGTAGAAACACAAATCCTCCAAAACTCTGCCTGATAATTCTAATTAGTGTGTTGAACCGTGATCAGTCAGTCAGTCAGTTTAAATATAGAACCTGTTCACTATGTACATCAAATCAAGTTGACGTGTCACATCAGTACACAGAGATGGCATAGTCTATTCACATCTCATAATGGTAGATGTAGTAGAAGTATTAGCAGTAATCGCAAAGATTAGGGTTTGAAGATAGTATTCGAGAAGTATATCCCAGCTATGCATCTACACGATTACATGACACAGAATCGAATTCAAGAACATCAGTATCATCATCACAGGCGTAAGTAAGTAAGTAAGTAAGTGATGGTGGTGGTCTACGATTGATCAATTCATGACTGTTTTTAATGTGTAACTTAACAAACACTCTTCACAACCCCTTAAATGCTATAAATAACTATTAATTATTTTAAACAAAATGAAGAAAAATAATAAAAATTCAATCGATTGCAAGAGAGTTAGTGATAGAAATGAGTAGAAAAAATGAAAAGTTACTTGATACTAATTAAAAAAAGATAGTTGAAATGATAAAAAGAAACTTGTAGATTTGTAAGTATCTCTTTAGAATAATACTTGTCGTTTGTATGACAATATACATTGAGATAATTGTATACTTTTTTCAATATGTCCATCAATGTAACTGTAATAGAATTAACTATAAGTCCTAAATACCAACATAAGTTTTTTAAAGTATGTTTAAAGTACTCAATTTTAAATTAAGTAACGCTAAATTATCATTATGAAAATAGTTGTAGGTAGTGGAATATTTGAAATACTTAAGTGTTTTGTAGAAAATTTTTTGTTTGGTTCAATGTCATTCACTGATATTAATTGTAAAAACCAATTTGGAAATCGGAAGTTAAGTTAGTGAATAGTTTATTTCGTTTTTAAAACATTTCTTAAACTATTAGATTAATTAGTATTGAGTAAAGTACTTGTAGTGACGGTATGGAGAAAAATAGATAGATTAGATTACTGAGCTGTAAGCTATTGGTCAAAATATGTAACTGTATTACATAAACGATGTAGTGCGATCTACAAGCAAAATCATATAATATAAGCTGAAATCTCACTTCTTACATGAGTGACTTTAACGGTTACGACTTAATTTCCAGGGCATAAAATAGTATAAAATGAGGACTGCCTACTACTAGAAAATCTTCAAGACCAAGCAGTTATTCACGTCGTGTTATTCCCCAATGGTTCTCTCAAGCGAATGTAAATTCATGAAAAGAGACTTTACTGAGAAACATTATATCAAGAAAATGATATGATTGTACATGTGCAATAAGTAAATTTTGTAAATACTTTTGAAATGTTGGATTGACATCATGTGATATCTAGTTGATATTGAAGAATAAGATTTATTACAAGCAGATCTTGTTCGTGTATCATGGGACAACCGAGTAAGCAATGCTATTATTAGGAAACGGGTGCTAGGTAAGGATGGCAGATCAATAGATGAAGTAATGAAATTTCATCAGTTGAGGTGGTTTTGGACATGTGATGCCTATGCCTAACCACCGACTGCTTCGTCGAGCTATGTTTTGCGATATAGGAATAGCTTGGACGAAAGCTAGGGGCGGCCAGATCAAATCATGGCAGAAATCCGTAAAGTCACTGACAGGTCGACTAAGTAAGTCATGTTGATAGGTGTCGACTACCTGTTTGGGGTCGGCGATATGATAGTAATCGATGGTTAGAGACCCTAAATGACATAGATCAGAACCGTTTGCAATGGTGAAGGTGAATTCATTCTTCGCTTTCTTTTGAATCCTAACCTGAATTCCTTATCACTTTATCTTTATCGTTTTAAGTTTCTTTCACTAGATTCTACGTTTTGAATAATATTCTCGAACCCTAATCTCTCCGATTACTGCAAATCCTTTACTAATTCTACTACTATGGGACTTGAATTAACAATTAAATCTCTGCGTTAATGTGATATGTACGTACGTACGAAGTTCTACATTGCTGTTGATTGATTGAGAAGCAGATCAATTCATTGAAGGAGTACTGTACTGTTAATCAAATCAGTTTATATCACTTTTAAGACGATTCATAGATAATCTGACTTTGGCGAACCTATGAATTAGTCGGTTTTGACTCACTCTTCACCTACTAGTAAGTGAGCAGAGATCAGTGATAAAGTAACATAAAATACTATCACCGATACTGTACGCTATCATGGACACAAATTAGAATTAGAAAACGTGTAGTGTTTGTACTAACATATTAAGCCCACATGACTTGTCCTAGTTTTTAGACAAACTAAATAACCTTTTCTGCTCGAGTTACAATTTCCACTTTTTTTTAACCGTGTCAGTCATTCGCGCCAAACAGTGCGTGTGCCCATTGCTCAGTTCGCTTATCCACATGTTTAGCTTACATTTTTCTGCCTAAGAATAGATAATCATGTCCGCTCGCTTTGCATTCCTCATGTTTGTCTGATTACGTGAGTGTATGAAATCAATTCATTCACATATAACTTTTTTTGGCTTTCAATTACCACATAACCGCATAAACAAACTTCACCTAGCAATAATTATATACAGAAAATCAAAAGAAGGTTTATTTCATAGGATATTGAATTGTTTGTAAAAAAGTAAAGTGAAATCCCGGCTCACTGATAATTTCTTGAAGCATGGCATTCAGATCAGTTAACAATTAAACAGACACATCATCTAAGCAACCGTTGAATATATCTTCCAAAATGACAATACAAACTCTCTATACAGCTGTACGTTACCAAAACATAAATCTAAGTAGTCTAAATATGTTGAGTGTAATATATGTAACCAGTATTGTCTTAAAATGAACACCCAGTACCTATAGGTAAAGATAAAAACGTTCTTATAGTTTATTTAGATTAAAAAATTCTTAACTAGTAAAATAATATAGTGAGCAGGTTTTTATTATTTTTTTTAGAAAGTTTAAACGAAATGTGAATATATTTTATTAACGTATAAGAAAATAATAATAATAATAATAGTGTACTGAAGTGTATTGAAGCATTTTATATCATTATCTTTCTTTTTGCATTCAAATTCGATTTCGGCATTTTTTTTCTCTCTCTCGAAAAAAAATAAATAAGATTTATAATGAATTTTCATGGTAATTCAACTTAAATTTAATATCAGTTTGTAGTGTGCCGATTTACTGCGTGTTCTTAAGCTCGGTTTATAAATCAGAACATGAACTCGTAGTGATGAATACGTTTATTTTTGGGACACACCACAAAGCGAAGCGGAGAAGTAGTGAATAAAACGAATGAAGCGACGTGAACTGGAGAAGGCTTTTGAGCCAACTCCATTACCGTCATAATATAATATCATCATGAATCAGAATAATAGTTCTTTCACATTAATACGATAATGATAACGATAATTGAATAATTCGAGAAATGGATTCATGCAGCGAGTTAATACGTAGTCGAAATGATAATAAGATAATACGATTTTTGTATGTGCATATAACCGCTGAAGTGGGTTTGCTGCTTTCGTCCGATGAGAGAGTGCGTTGTCTGTGTTGTATATTGAATCTGATTCGTTCAGCGAATTCATTAATTTCCTGAGCTGCTTTGTCGCTGTATGGCGTCGGGATTTCCAGTTAGTGGTTCTGTTCGATTTGTTCTCGAGATTACCAACTGGTTGGTTGTATTCGATTTGTCGTCGGAATCGTCAAATTAATCCTGGAAACGTCGGGGTCACCAATTTTGTAGTGCACTGGCGAGCGAATGCGCGGAAGAATGAACGAAGCAGCGAATAAAACGAAGGAAGCGAATGGATAGGTGAAGCGCGTTGGAGAAGGCAAAGAGCCAACTCCTTGA